ATATATTTGAATTTAAATTAAATATAGTTTTGCTTGTAATAATAACAATATCAATTCATATTTTTGCTTTTATTACAATATAAAATATAGCTAAGTGTCTTTTACACAATGAATAAATCTCTTTTTGACAATATGTTTATGTATTCTTAAAAAGATCTTTAAGCTCAAAATTTGACTCCTTGGTACCCCCAATGCTTAATTAAGCTTTAAATTTTCATTGCGAGTTTTTATGCTTTTCAAAGCTTAAATATTATACAATCATTAATTTTGAATATTTACTGTAATCGTAGTCGGGAGAAATTTTTTAAAAATCTTGTGGCGCTGGTTTGTAATCAATTTTTTCGGGTCTACAGAGCAGAGTTTCCGACGGGAAATTTAATATTTATGTAGCACGACAGTTGTTTATTTATTTGTAAGGCTCGTAAAAAGAAGTTAATTAATTTAAATCTAGTTTATAAAAATATATTAAACGAAGATGTTTAGTAATAATTTGAATTTAATTGGTCCGTCAGTGTATTGAGCATACCTAGCTGCCTACCTGTTTCATAACGAACTCTCTCTAAACAAAATTCTGCCGTCGCCAATTAAAAACTTACGAAAGTCTGGTTCTGCCATTATTTCTTCAAAAGAATGTACGTCAGCATGCTGTTTTGGTTTTATATTTTTTCCTTTGACATTTTGAAAGCTGCGAGCCTTCGGGCATCGACCTTTCTAAATTGATTTTGTCGAATGGATGCTCTTTGGGCACATGCAAAGTAAATTTCAACAGCGTCGGGAACAACAAAAGGACAAATGTTACTTACCAAATACTTTACACTAATGTCGTATTTGTTATAAATATAAAATTCTCGACGTCTACCTTAGACGTGAAGTTTCATTCTCTTTAAGCTCAACATCCGAATATTTAAGTTCAATGGAGGGTTTTTGTTTTTAAACTATTTGTTTGGAATATCTATTTATATTCTGTCGAGCTCCCAATCCAGTTTTTTCCAGCAACTACGACCGGCACAGCACAAGCCGCTGATCGTAGAAATGTGAAATTTAGATGGAGATTCTGTGCATCTTGCAGGCATCCTATAAGAAAGAATTTTTTTTAATTCAACTTTCAAAGAATTTTTATCAAATTTCCCATTCGTCGAACTGAAAAGAATCGATACGACTCAGTGATAAACACCGATGATGCCATTTGTAAACCGGTCGAGTTCCTGTATGCAGTAAAGCCCTCGGTCTTCCAACTCACGTTTTAACTTGAAAGTGCCTGTGCAATAAATCCATAAAAATTATGCAATCGCGCCAGATTACAATTGGAAATGTTACATTGCAGTGTTTGATTGTTCGGTTGTTGTTTGTTGAGGAGACACTGTACCTATTTCTAGGGTTACCCTTATGCGGTTAAATTACCTTTTAAAATTCAATAGGCGTAGGTTTCTATCGAAGTATGCCTTGCAATGACCAAAACGAGGCTCAAGATAAAACTATTAATAAATTAGGAGTTGACTTGAAAGAAAGCTACTCCTGCCAAGCGCATAAAATAGCTTATTGGCTCTATCACACGGGCGAAATTCAAAAAATGAATTTAATAATTTACATTATATATTAAATTGAATAAAGTAAAAACCCAATTAAACATCCGATTAGATTTATATAAATTCATATATAAATATAATCTAAACGCTTTGCAACCGTTGTAGCGATTTTTGGCCGATCTCCTCCTCCAATTTTTAGTATGGGTCTTGCTGTTTTTTCCAACACGGTTGGCTTAACGTTATCTGCCGAGGGCACAATTAGAAAAATTAACCTTTTTTGTTTAAAGTAATTTCCTATAATTTTTGGATATTAGCGGCAAACCATGTTTGGGGACATAAACCGTTTGGGGAATGATGTTGGCTCTTTAAAATACAACGCTTGGTTATATAGATGAAAGAAAGTTTTCGCTACATTGTCGTCGTGGTTGGGGGAGTTAATAGCATACCTACGACTTATAATCGAAGGAGGGAAATTTTGTAAAATTGTAGAAAAGGGCAGGTTGTATGGCTATGCTTCCTTGAAGCTGTTAAATAGTTTTTTTTAGTTTCAAATGGCTTTGGAAATTTTCAACATATATGAGCAATTTATTTTGCAGATCTTTGATATTAAATGCTAATGATTAATGATTAAGTTCAAGCAATTATCTATTATTTATTGAGACCTTAAAACATACATACATATTTTCAAAAATCATGTCTTTAACTTATGAATAAATATTTTTTAGAAATGCTTCTCGTTTTTTTGTTAATCATACATATACACATATTCATTCTTCTTATACAATTTTTTGTAACTTTCCTTGGCTGTAAACAATTTTTTGTTGTTTCTTCACAAATACTATAAAATATTTAGAATCCAACTAAATTGCTTTAATTTGCTACACAATCAATTCGCAGCCATATTTTTTTACATACACGTACATATGCACATATGAGCATGTAAAATACTTTAGATTCTTTCTTTAGAAATTTATGAATTTCATAAATTACTTTGAGTACCAATTTTCAGCGCCTGCCAATTTAGACAATTAAATCAATTTAAAATGGTGTTAAAGGCGTGTATAAATATTAACACTTACGACGCAACATACAGACATATATAAATATCAAATGTGTGTATGTATGTTTATTCTTGTATGATTGCCTACAAACAACTAAATAAGTTTATTAAAATTTCACATATGAATGAACGTAACTTTGTGTGCGTATGTGTGAACGCTCTACTCAACTCGAGTTGAATTAAAGTTTCGCCTTGCTTTGCCTCTCGCCATATGTTTTGCCTGCCCGAAAAGAAAGAAATTGACCCACTCAAGTGAGAAATCGAGTTAATTAAAATGAGAACCGACAAAGATGGTGGCAAACGTACGCAAACAATTACTACTACTATACATATTTGTTCATATGTATTTCTGATGTGCACACAAACAAACATATTTCCTGTAAAGGAAGTAAAGCTTGCTCAAGTCAAATGTATGTAAACCGCCTTAACGGATGCTGCTCATTACAATTGAATGGGGCCACTAATGTGAGGCGACTCTTCAGAAAAGTTTCGAGAACAACAACAACTATAACTTGCTTAGCTGACGATCGAAGTGGAAAAAGTAGGAAGTGAAGTTTAACACTTGCAGCGAAGTGTGATGAAAGAGTTAAAGAGGAAGGAAACTTCCTCTCCTTCCTCAATAAAAAAATAAACAAAAAAAAAAAAAAATAAAAAAAATAATTGAAATAAAATAAATTAAGTTAAGATGAAGTGAAATAAAATAAATAAAATAATATAATTTAAAGTAAAACAAGGTAACATAAAATAAAAGAAAATAGAATAAAAAAAGAATAATAAATAATAAAAATAGATTAAAGTAAAATAAAAATAAATAATATAAATTGAAATAAAATAGCATAAAATCAACTAAAATAAAAAAAAATTAAATAAAATTAAATAAAATTAAATTAATCTAAATCAAATAAAATAAAATAAAATAAAATAAAATAAAATAAAATAAAATAAAATAAATGAAAGAAAATGTATTTTATATTAAATAAAATAAGTTAAGCATTAAAAAAATAAAACAATTTAAATGAAATGAAATAGCATAAAATAACATAAAATTAAAAAAAAAAAACAAAATAAAGTTAAATTAAACAAAATCAAATAAATTAAGCATACAAATAAAAAAAAATAAAAAAATAAAATAAAATAAAATAAAACTAAAATAAAGATAACAAATAAGTTAAATTTAATAAAAATAAACAATATGTAATTATAATAAAATAAAGCAAGATAAAATAAAAATAAAATATGGGAATAAATGAATAAAACGAAGTTAATTCGAGAATATCACAGAATTTGTTCAAGGTTACGACAATACGCTCATTTTAATTTGGCGCGAGTGTTTTGAGGCAATTCAAAGGTTTAATTCGAATGGTAATTTGCATACGGAAATCACAATAATCACAAAGAAAAATTATATAATGAAGAAAATTTACCTCAAACGTGAGGGAATTGAAAGCGTTTTCGGCGCATTAGAGTGCACCTCATCGCGTTCCGGCCATATGCTGGGAAAACGACAAAGTATGCTGACAATAAAGGAGTTACAACAACAAACGCATCAAACGGAAGCCACAAGTTAAAGCTTTGGAAATCTCGGAAAGAGTTTTGTTTGGGACAAATATTGTTTGATTGGAAATCATCATCAACATGCAGCGTGGCTACCAGAACATTGTCAGGATGCGCTGAAGCATGAAACGTTCGTAAGCGGACAATTAATACAAGCCGTTTCCCGATATCAAGCGTGCGCTAAAAGGGTTCGACAGCGGCATTGATGGGCGGCGAAGTGCGAAAGTGATTTCCTGGCGCCTTTATTTGACTTCAATTTATTATTTTAGTATGCAAATATGAGTTATTATTGTTGTATTTCACTAGCTTCTTCGCCGTTTTAGTCGATCAAAATATTGGTTTTGTAAAATGCGCTAAAAACGTGCTTAACACTCAGAGGACCCTCGCCGCGTAGTTGTGATATCCTGCCGGCGGGAAAATTGCCGCATGAAAGTGATGCTGCGGTGAAGTATGCACAAACTGAATAACGCATCACGCAGCGCACGGCACAAAGCAACAACAATTACGCTTCGTTTGCCTTGACTTGGCTTTAGAGGGCGTGGCATATGCTCGATGGCGCGCTGCCGCGTTTGTTTTGCATCAAATTTGCTACGCTTGAGTGCACTCATATTGAGGAAACAGTCACGGCGGCAAACCACAGCGGCGCCCTAAACAAATAATATAAAATACAAAATTAATATCGAGAATTAAAATAAAAATTTGAAATATTTTCTACCAAATTGATTTTATTGTTTAAGCTCACAATATAAGCATATATATTTATTAATTGCTAACCCGTTGCTTATGAATACATACATATATACACAAGCGCAGCAGTAACTAACCTCATTTGTTTTTGTCTTTCTTTCCCACTTTTGCAGAGTCCGCGTGGCATGCAACCGTGTAGTCCATCGGGCGTTATTGCAGTGATGCCGCCATCGAAGAGTCCCACCATGGAAACGGCCGCCGGTCAACAAGCGAATGTACATGTCGGCAGCGACGAAAATGCTTGCGAAAAGGAACAGCAACAGCGCGCCGCAACGCCTATTAACACCACGCCCACCACAAATACCAACACAACAGCTACGACCACGCATTTAACCAATGCACGCGCGTGTCCGCTGAAATTTTCCATTGCGAAAATTATGGAGCCCGATCAACGCGCCAGCAGTGAATGCATTACCGCCGGTGAGGATTCTGAACGTTCATGCAGTCCAATAGATGTCGCCAGCGATGAGTGCGAGTCAGAGCGCGCAGAGATGCATTTACCCTCCACGGCTTGTGGTCAACAACAATGCACCAGCGCCAACGCTGACAACTATGACTCTGCGTTCAAAAAATATGTGCCCTCCGCGAGCGCCAATACCGCTGCTGCCGTCACCGCCGCCGCTGTGGCCGCCAACACTGTTACGAATGTCGCTGCCGTGCAGCAATTTGTCAATACGCGCCATCAGGAATTAATGTCACAATATCCGCTGCTCTATTACGCACCCAACCAGTTGATGTGCGCTGCCGCTGCTGCGCAATATGCTGCTCTAACCGCGGCGCAACAACAAACACTGCTCGCCAATCCAGGCGCTGCTGCACATTTGAGCAGTTTCACCGCTTCGCTAAATAGTTTCCACACGCAATCGTTGCGTCGCAACCTCAGCGCTTCGGGGCATCATTTGGCTGCTGCTGCGGCGGCGGCAGCTGCTGCACAAGTACAGGCGCAGCATGCGCATCACCAAGCGTTGGCGAGCGCACACCCACAACTGCAGCAATCGCTGGAGAAGCAACAACAACATCAACAGCAGCAGCATCATAAGATAAGCGATGGCGCCGCATATCATGGCATGAAACGCAAGCATTCCACCAGCGCCGCCGTTGTTTCCGCCGCCACCGCTGCTGCTGCTCAGTCAGTTTCTACGCTTCACGCTGAGCATAACTCATCACGCGCGTCGTCGCCCGCATCACGTCACCTACGTTCACCCTCACCTAATTCTCTCGATGACAGCCCCGGCTCTGCTTCGGGCAAGCAGAAGACTTTCTCCTGCTTGGAATGCGGCAAAGTCTTTAATGCGCACTACAATCTTACGCGTCACATGCCTGTGCACACCGGCGCACGCCCGTTCGTCTGTAAGGTATGCGGTAAAGGTTTCCGTCAAGCATCCACACTGTGCCGCCACAAAATCATTCACACCTCTGAGAAACCGCATAAGTGTCAGACCTGCGGCAAGGCTTTCAATCGCTCCTCCACACTGAACACTCACACGCGCATACACGCCGGTTACAAGCCATTCGTATGTGAGTATTGCGGCAAGGGTTTCCATCAGAAGGGCAACTACAAGAATCACAAGCTCACGCACAGCGGCGAGAAGGCATACAAATGTAACATCTGCAATAAAGCTTTTCATCAAATCTACAACCTCACCTTTCATATGCACACACACAACGATAAGAAACCATACACGTGTAAGGTGTGCGCTAAGGGCTTTTGTCGCAACTTCGATCTAAAGAAGCATATGCGTAAGCTGCACGAGTTGGGCGGTAGTGATCTGTTGGACGACGACTCACCGCCGAACTATGAACGCCGACGCGAATACACGCGCCGGGAGTATACACGCCGCGACAGTCATCACGGCTACCATGCACATCTCCAACACGGCAGCCAGCTAACACCCGACTCCTCCGCAGGCAGCTTATCGCCACCAATCAATGTAACAACGCCGCCGCTCTCCAGTGGCGGTGGTGGTGAAAGCAGCAATTCCGCTTGGCATACACCACAATATCAGACTCTGGGCAGCGCTGCACAACACTCGCCGAGTGTCAATGCAACAAACACTTCTGCAACCTACACGGCGCACCATTTACTCACACCCACAATGGGCAGTAGTTTCCGCGCAACCGCTGAGTATTCAACCAGCTCCGCTTTCATTCAACTAGCCAACGCCGCTTCAACAAGCGCAACCACAAGTGCCGCACAAATGCTCAGCGCACATCAACAGGCCACAGCGCATAGTCTGCAACACAACCACCACGCACACAGTCACAGCCAAAGTCATCAACCGCATCATCAACATCATCATCAGCGGCTCTCGGCGGCAGCAGCCGTCTCCGCCATGGATCAGGTGCCCTTCATTGCGAAGGTCTTTTGACAGCGTTACTATGCAGATAGTTTGGCTACGACGTCGACGCAGCACGCCGCCAGCACACTGAGCGCTTCCTCGACGAAGAGCATACTCATCGACTGACTGCAATTCGTAGCGGCCGCTGCAGCTACGGCAAATGCAGCGGGTGTTTCGCATGCGAGATTCACTGCAGCACCGATTTGCTCGTCCACTCCCGAGCACGATGATGAGCCGCTGCTCGTTGACTCTGTCGATGAAATCGAAGAGGAAGAGTCGACACAGCTGCATGCGTATCCAGCTGGGGAGCAGCTGACGGAGCAGTTCGCGGTTCATCGTACGGCGGTGGGCAGTGCTGTGGAGGTGCTAAATGGTCTGCTGTGAAGCGTTGCTGCTGTGCGGCGTTGATCCTGCTGTGTGCGTCTGCGTCTGCTGGTTTCAACAAAACGGTTTCATCTTTGGGAAAGACGCTCCCCACAATCGAAAATAATGATCTCCGCTGTGCAATATGCATAAAACCCCCCCGAAGCTATGAAAAAATCAATTCCAAGAGTATATCTAAGCACGAGCACCTCACCACACCACAACAACAACTGGAGATTTCTGCGAAATCTTATTAATATTTGTAGCGAAAATTTATTTAAAACAAGCTTGAGTTGTTCTTACGTCCCGCATAAATATAAAATAAAATCCTTTAGGGGTATTCACAGTGTGCTAACAAAATTGTATATATATATTTTTTTTTGTAAATATGAATGTTGGAATATAAGAAAATGCGTTCTTAATAGCATAAATTATAGTTAGTAGTTTCTTTGTATATATGTATGTGCCATAATATTAGGTATAAGTAAATTAAATGTGAAATCACTACACCTGCGTATACACACACACACACAAACACAACTTAGAAGTCATTTTGCGCCCAAGTACAGTTCAATTTTCGAGTGTAGTAGTGTTAGTAAAATTGTAATCGAATAAACATACCGAAAAAAATATAAATAAAATGGAAACATAAAAGATTATAGCTATATAAATATATATATATATATATATATATAGTACATACAAATTCAGTGCATAATCGATTTGATTTTAGTCATTTTAGACTTAAGATTAGCGTAAAGTATGGTGAATTGAATGTGTTTGAATTGAAAATAAAATTAATTAAATTAAAAACATATAATTTTGACTTCTTACTTCCAATCGCTGTGAGGAAGAGCAGGTGGGTGTTCCTTCGGAATGGCACCCATAAAGTGGGAACTCTCATGAGTACTGCTATACCGACCACAAGGTTTATAGAATACAAGGTTACGGCCAAACCAACTGCGACATATACAGTGTGGGCGTGATTTAATATTAAATAATGAAAAGAATTCAATTCTTTCTTTAAAAAATATACATATACGAGGGCATTAACAAAAGTTTGTATTTATTCGTAATCTTTGCCTTTTTCACCTGCTCTACATAATCGAATTGAATTCAATGCATTTCTTAAGCCTATCGATCCATTTCTGAAAACAGTGTTCAAAATCTTGCTCCTTAAGTAAATCAAGTTGAGCATTAACCACCTTTGAAATTTTTAAATTTTTGGAAATAACCAAAAATCACAAGGTGCTATATCCGGGGAATACGGCGTTGGAGGTATTTCTTCGAAACCAGAGATCGCAATAAAATTACTCGCTATTTCAGCAGCGTGGAATGGCGCGTTGTCATGAAGTAGAAAGTAGCGCCGCAAACCCTCTTTCTTCTTGTTTCCCAACAAATTTTTGAAAACTTTTGGTAAGCACTTTTTGGTGAACCCTTTTGCAGTTGGAGTCTGACCCTTTCCAGTGGAATAGCAGCTACGATTTTAGATCGGGTGAAGTAAACTGACGTCATAACTTTTGCTACTGATTTTTGTTGTTAAAATTTTTGCGGGTGGGCTTGCTCCTGCTGAGGCTTGATACCAAGGACTGCTATTTGCTTTCTGGATCGTAATTATAGAACCAAGATTCGTCACCAGTAACAACATTACTAAAATTGCTAGACTGGCCATTTTCGAATTTGTTTAGGAAAGATTAAATAAAATGCATTCGAGCCTTCTTTTTGGGCTGCATCTAAAATTCGTGGTGTCCAGCGAGCAGAATTCTTCGTGCAGCCCAGATGATTACTTAATAATTGCGATAAAACCAAAGCATTCAAGCCCAATTCATTAGCAATCATTTCTTGTTTCAATCGAAGGTCTTCATCAATTTTGAACTTCACCAGAGCTACAGTGACGTCGTCAGTGGAAGTTTTATTGTCGACTTGGAATCTTCAGAACCAGTTAGAAAAAGGCTTTAGAGACGGATATGGAACGATTATGCTATTTGGCATTCACTGAATATTTGTGTTGGCTATTAATTACGCCGAAATCCGAACACATGGCGACTTCTGTTAGCGTTGGTGGTGGAATTTCGTCTGACATATCCTCAGCTTTCTTGCGTTTTCTCGTCTCCATTTAGGGCGATCGTTATAAAATTTGAAAGGAAGGCCACCAAATATCCGCATTTCTTTGGGACTTATGTAAATTGCGGCCGCGGTAGCCGAGTGGTTAGCATTGCGTACTGCCATCCGCAAGGCTCGGGTTCAAATCCTAGTGTCGTACAACAAACTCCTAATAGAAAACCATCAGCCGTTCGGAGGCGGCTTAGTATAAACTGTAGGTTCCTCCATTTGTTGCGAAAACATCAAGACGCAAAACCAAAACCACAAGTTGGAGAAGGAGCGGTTACAAAGCGCCAATTATTTATGTAAAATGCCACCGCAGTCACAGATTTGACGATTTTGCTTACTAAATATAATTAAACACAAATTATCAAACAGCAAAGTACCAGGCGTGGCATTTGTTCATCAAACAAGGGCCTAAGTGGTCGCAGTCCACCAAATTTGCAAGAGCAGCATTATGCTGAATATCGTGTTGTCGTTCTTGTTGGAACCGCAAAAATAGTCCCCAAAGTACAGTCCTTGACCGGATGAAAATCCGTATCGTTTTGGTATAAAGACCCGACTGTCGCGGGAACTATTGGATTTTAGTCGCCTCTTACGACATACATGCCTTACGATTCGCTGACGATCGTTAATCCTTAATGTTCATCGTCACTTTCATCGCTTCGTCTTCTGTACAAGTAATGCAGACGAAACGCTGTGAATTGAGAAAGCGCGAAAACCCTGCGCTCGGGAAATTTTCTATTTTTAGAAATTTATTTGTGAAATTATGGTTTTACAGTTTATTGTTATATTTTTGATATTCGAAACACATGTTCAACCAGCGAAATTTGCTTAAATCAATAAAACCGATTTTTAAATTAAAAAAAAAAATGGAATGTGAACTGTACTCTCCAAGCGGCGAAGAAGAGAAGAAAAGTTTAAATGTTAGCTGCCGAGCGGCTGCTCTTTAAATTGCTATAACTCAAAAACTATTTGAGATATCGATTTGAAATTTTTATATATTATTATATAAAGGTGTAATCTCCCGAAATATGAAAAAATATCGATTTTTTTGAAATTTCACACTAGGTGTGCCCCTTGCTGACGATGGCGTTGAACAGCATACCAACGTTACCGTATCATCATAATTTTATTTACGACGACGATAAGTCGCCTAAAAAATTTTTTGTCCACCATAACCCACTGTACATTTTTTCATCGCTTGGCACTTTTGATCCCGATTTTTTCAAAAGATAGGGTTCATACATTTTCCGTAAGCTTTTTGCTTTTTAGCACATACAGAAATTAGACGAAAATCGGCTTCTATATTAAATTTGTATACGAGGTGTGTTCAAAAAGTATCGCGAATTTTGATTTTCGCGGGTTACGTAAAATCGAATTTCGATTTTTTTGTGGCGTTATGTTGGTACTCATGTCTGTCACTGACAAGCTCGGCCATTTTGTAACTGTTGACAGCTGCTTTGCTTGCACGTGTTTTGGAAGGTTTTCGATTTTTACCTATTCAAAAAAATTGATCAAAGAACCTGTATCAAATTTTGTGTGAAAAATTCAAAAATTCAATTCAATTTCAATCAAGTACGCGGATGCATTCCGAATGCTGACTGTGGCATACGAAGAAGCTACTTTGGACCGAAGCAACGTTTATTGGTGGTACAAAATGTTCTCAGAAGGCCGAGAAGATGTGAACGACGAAGAGCGTGCCGGACGCCCGAGCACTTCAACAACAGACAGTTTTCTTCGATTGCAGGGGCATGGTGCATCATGAGTTCTTGCCACAGGGTAGAACGGTCAATAAGGAATATTACCTGCAAGTTATGCGCAATTTGCCAAAAACAACACACTAATGTTGCCGCAGCCTCCGTATTCCCCAGATCTGGCCCCCTGAGACTTTTTCTTATTCCCTAAACTGACGAGGCCTTATGAAAGGACGACGTTACGCTACGATTGACGAGGTAAAGACGGCATCGAAGGAGGAGCTGAACAAAATAAAAAAAAAATATTTTTTGAAGCGCTTCGAAGATTGGAAGAACCGTTGGCTTAAGTGTATAATATCTCATGGGGATTACTTTGGAGAAAACAAAATAGATATTCATGAATAAATAAATAATTCGCGATATTTTTTGAACACACCTCGTAAATACCATGATACAATAATTTAAGGTAGTTCATTCATTCTCTCTTTGCAGTCGGCTTCATAGCTATCTGACCAAAACTTTTCTCTCGAAGACCTACTAAGCCGACTCATGGGATTTCGGGTGGGGAGGTTACCACTTTTGTAGAGTGTGAATGATGAACGATTTATACTCCCTCCATAGTAGGTACTGTTGAACGAAAGATTCTACTTTGGGTATATCGACGATATCTTTGTCCATAGCGCAAAAATCATGCGTTAAACTGCCCATTGGATAACATCCCACTGTATTCAAATGGTGTCTCCCGAATTATGGTCCACTTTCGGCAATACTAGCGACGACGGTACGACGCTTTATTATAAACGATTATTTCCTTCCATCCTTCTTCTTTTCCCATTACCGAAAAATCCCAGCAAACAAAATATTTTAAATCAATCCAGCAATCGATCTCTACGCGGGTGAAATTAGCGCTGATACGGATACGGCGTAACAAAGTCACAACTCTCGGGAACCAATCAGGCTTACAGTATCCGTGGAGGGAAATAGCTACACCAGCCAAAAGTCACTTCCACATGAGAGATTACTGAAACTGTCGTCCCGGGAGGCCTACCCAGTTCAGAGAACTACAGTTCAAGCTGGTTAAAATAAAAAAAATCGTCTCCGGGGCGTATCGTCACAACATCGGGATCAGCAAAGACAAATTATCGGGAGTACTTCGTATTCGAGATCTGCCTAAAAAACCGCCTCTTCGTCAGGGCTCTGAGTAATAAGCGTACAGTAGGTTTTGCCGCCTTAAATGGGTCAAGAACAGGACACGCTGTAAGTGAAAGCCAGTTAGTGTGAGTACACTTAAAAGAGCATTCAAAAGAAGCTTGGTTTTCGATTCCTCTACTGTGCACCTACCTCAAAGAATCTATAAAGCGTATCGAGAAACACGCTCTAAACACGATTTCTAGCTTTCTCAAACGGACTCTGCAATCATGTGTGGCTAAGCCTATCCACAGCTTGTTAATACTTCGATCTTTTCGTTTCTCCATGCCCCAGCACAGTTGGAGCTTAAGTTTATTTCTAGAGCTTGCAAGAGCGGGGTGCAGCTTGAAATTTTCTCTTCAACTTTCTCTCGTTAGCCAAACACAAAAGACGCTCATCACTTTTTCCAAAAATGCCGCCATTTTATTGAAGCATGTCGAAATTCGTCAAAAACAAAAAAAAAAACCAAAAAAGCGGAGGACTATGTATGTGGTTATGCTAGGAGGAGATATGCAAATTCGTAAACCACTCAGCGCCTCAGTGCAAAGTCAGCTTTTGTCTTCTGTGTGTTTTCTTCTTTTTGATGCACTTGAAATGACACATCAACCATCAGCTCGACAGCTGGTTACCGCCTACATAAACGAACTTATTCTTTGATAC